TATAAGGTGAGTCATCCAACTTTTAAAGAAAATATATGTAGCTTTGTCTTAATTTAAAAGCATAAGAATTTAAAGTATAATTTCCAGCATGTTTTCAACATTCTCTTTAGATAATGAGTTTCTGTTGGAGTTACTGAGGGTTTTGCTTTTTATAAATGACTCACTAATAATAATAAAATCACTCTATTAAAATTTATGTCGGTTATTTTGGGTTGTGAAATTAGATGTGAAGTAGATGACAAGCTAAAAGTCTTTTGCTCTATAAAATGGCATTGCTGAAATTACTAGTCCTATTGATGAAGGCAAATGAGAATGCTGAACAGAAGATGCGAAGGAGAAGAAAATTAGGTGTGCTCCATTTAATTTCCTGTAAGTCAGCTGTGCTATTTTTTTACAATTGTTTGTCCTGCAATGGTAATTATATTTACATCATTATCCAAGTTAATTAGTTCTTTTTTAGTTGAATATAAGGTTTTTCATGCTCACTAAAGTTGCAGTACTGCTTCTCTTTACTCCTTTCATCAGGTTCTGCAGATAAAAGTATCAAGGATACAACACAGAGTTTACTGATAGAAGTTGGATGTAGAAATGGAGGCTTAAATAGAATAGTGCTGCAAGATTATGTTGACTTTGTCTCCACTTTCTTTTGGGATATTGTGTTTTGTTTTCTTATTTGTTCCTATGTCAAATTATATATCTTTAGGAAAAAGTATTTAATAAAGAATACAAATGTGAATAGGAATAAGAATAGAATTATAAGAGTCTTATTAGGAATTGAAATATGAATTCTATTAGAAATAAAATATCTTATATACTACCTATAAATCGGGGGGTAAGAACCAATTCAAGACTATAAGATAATGTGAGAATACAAGGCATTTGATGTAAATATTATTAAACACTATGGGTAGAGTCTCTTAGAAACTATTATGGTTTTTACTTTAGGTATTGGGTTAAGCGTGGTTAGAAAGTGTATTCTTGTATATCATGTTCATCAAAATATAATGAAATTCTCTCATCCGTGGATGTAGGCAATGTATGCCGAACCACGTAAATATTGTGTCTCTTTGTGTGGTGTGATTTTATTCCTATATTATTAATTTCGAATGTATGTTTTTTGTTGCGTGATTTCCTAACACATTCATCACATTTTGAAACGTGTAATTGGACTCCTTTGGTGACATTTAGAGCCACCCAATTGGAAACACAATTTGTGCTTAATTCTCTTAAACACTTTCTAAGATTTTCAAGCTAAAATTGTGGTTGCATGGTCTTAATCCGCAATTTTTGAAATGCAATGACCTCCAAAACTTTGTGAATATGAGCACCAATTGCAAGAGAAACATAAGTGAGTTACCACTAAATTGTTGAAACTGAAAACCAAACATGTCACAAGTAAAGTATAATGTAAAAGACAAAACACACGATTTACCTTAATTCGTCCCGATTAAGTAATTACGTCCAGCATTCAAACAAAGAATTCTTATTAAGTATCAAAACTTTACGCGATTACAATGACAACTCACTCTAACTCTCTATCTCACATTAGGCTATTCACTATTACAAAATATTTATAATAGAAAAGTCTAACCCCATTTGGGTTTACCCGAATTTAACCCGACCCAGGGGCAAACATTAATAAACTAATTTTAGTCAATGAATTATAATGAAGAAACTTGAATAAAACCTTCTCTTCAGTACCAATCAAACTACTGAAAAAGAACACTAGAACTGGGTGGTGAAAAGAAGGAAGTTTTTTATTCAAATTTAGAGAAATTTAAGTTTGATGAACTGGGTTTTGGTGTTTGGTTGCAAGAGAGTTTTTTGGCTGTGGAAAGTGCAGTAAATTAAAGCAGGGTATGGAGTTATGGACAGAGCATATTGTTGTTGAAGAATATTCTATAGGATTTTCCGCTAGATGTACAATGGCTGTAGAATCAATTTCGCAATAAATTCACCTTGTACAATTACCAGGTAAAGCTTATATTTTGATGGTACACCAGGAAGTTTTTACTTTTAAATAACGACAATAAACATCTTTTTTCTTTCTTGTTTACTCGCTAAACGATGATGGCGTGACATTTTGGACGGCTTACCCCAACTTCCATTTCCAGGGTGGAAGATGGGTCTCTTCTGCTCTGTTGTTTTGGATAAAGCTTTCGCTTCATAATTTGCAGCAGCGTAGGCTTGAAACAGTTTCTCATTTCTCCAATATAAAACTCAAAATCTATTCTTCTAATTTATTTTAAACTCGGGTGAGCACGGGTAACAGATAGAACCAGAACTTGTAGGTAGAATCGAAATCGGAACCAGAACCTACTTGAAACCGATACTATGCGGGTAGTTTCTGGTTCCATTTTTTTGGAACCGATACTATAAGATTCCGGTTTCGGTTCTGGTTCCTACATGTGGAGGAATCGGAACCTGAACTTGAAAAAAAGAACTTGCAGTAGATACCTGACTTGGAACCAGCTTGGAACCTGCAACGGGTACCCTGTTTTGGAACTTGAGCTGAAATAAATATCTGTGAAGAATGGAGGGTCTATTATAATTTTACATATAAAAAAATTTAAAATAGAAAAAGTTAAATTTTTACAATAACCTAAATAAATAAATATACAATTATAATTATTACATATAAATTACACTATATAAAAAACTTTAATATATTATAATATGTTAGTATTAAAGTTTTTATTAATTAAGTGTATAATTGGAATTATAACCAATTAAAATTGTTTTAATGTTATTAAAAGAATTGTTTTTTGAATAAAATAGTATATTTGATTGAATAATAATATAATATTTAGTTATTTACTTCAATTATCAAGTTCTAAGTATATCATTACATTATAGTTAAATGATTACTTAATTAATTATACGTTTATAACATTACATTAGTAATTTAATACATTATTTAGTTAAATAATTATAACATTACATTATAAATTTATAGTATAATTACTTAATTAATTATAATATTACATTATAAACAAATGATTACTTAATTAATTATAACATTTCATAGTTAAATAATTATTTAATTAATTATAAATTTATAACGTTATATTATAAACTTTAGTAATTTACTACATTAGTACATTATTTAATTAAATGATTAAAAATTTAATTAATTATAACATTACATCATTGATTTATTGTATGATTATTTAATTAATTATAACATTACATTGTAAACAAATGATTACTTAATTAATTATAATATTTTATTATAATCATTAGTATAACACTTAATTAAATAATTAGAAATTTAATTAGTTATGATATTACATTAAAAATTTATAGTATGATTACTTAATTAATTATAACATTACATTATATTATAATCACTTAATTAATTATAACATTTCATAGTTAAATAATTATTTAATTAATTATAAATTTATAACGTTATATTATAAACTTTAGTAATTTACTACATTAGTACATTATTTAATTAAATGATTAAAAATTTAATTAATTATAACATTACATCATTGATTTATTGTATGATTATTTAATTAATTATAATATTTTATTATAAACATTAGTACAATACTTAATTAAATGATTAGAAATTTAATTAATTAGAATATTAAATTATAGATTTATAGTATGATTACTTAATTAATTGTTTGTGTTTTGGTTTTGATTGAGGAATTTTATGTGAATTGTGATGAATTGATTGAATTCAAGTGTTGCCTAAATATTAGAGGATTTATGAGTCACACTGGACAAAATGAATGAGTAATCAAAATTTGTTAGGGGTGTATTTGTAAACTTTTAAGATATTTTTGTCATTTTTAAAACTAATAGGGGGGTAATTAATTGTTTATAGGGTACTCGGGAAAAGAATCAGAACCTGCATTTTAGGTTCTGGTTCCGTAGGTTCCAGTTCCTTGAATTTAAGAACCTACATTGTGCGGTTTCGGTTCTCTCAAAATATGCAGGGTACCCAGAACCGCTCACCCCTAAAACCATGAAATGGCTCAAGGAGTTGTTAATTCTTCTTAGTTACTGCTAAATTGTCATCTTTAAGCAGTTTTGAGAAAGTAAAATTCAATCTTCCTCAATGCTCCTTCGAAGAAATGGTTGGTGTTTCTATTGGTAGGGTTAAATCTTGCCCCCACAAGTTGTCACCATCGTTTCACAAAAACATGCTGACATCTAGAGCTGGCGATGGATCGTGCCGACTCACGTGTCGACACAACTCTCCTTAAAAAAAGCCTAGCACAACACGCAAATTTCCTTGCCATGCCATGGCTTACAAATATTCAAAGAAATTAATGAAAATTAATGGAAGTGTTAAACTAGGCCCACGACACAACCCATGGCACAACACGCTATATAGCGGGTCGTGCTGTGGGCCTTCAGATTTGGCAGGCTGGCACAGCATGACAAGACATGAATTTCTACAGGCCTTAGCACGAAACAGGCCCCGACACGATAGGCCTTGAATTTTTAGACACAACATAATGACGATGACATCAATATCCCCATTAACTAACAGTAACATCAATATCCTCGTTAACTAACGATGACATCAATGTCCTCGTTAACTAACATGGCAGTTGACCTTGCAATTAACTAAGGGTGATGCTCATGTGTTGTTACCTAACAATGACGCTTATATGTCGTTAACTAACGGTAACATCAATATGAAAAGAGTAATACTACAGCAACAACACTCTCTTATAAACTCTCTCACAATCCTAATGTGGCAGCTTCCAATTAGTCAACTTGTAATTAATTAATGAGACTCATATGGGATCCATTATAAACTAACCAATTATGAGCTACCAAGTTAGGGTTATGAGATAAAGTTTGTAAGAAATAGTTATTGATATAGTATTATTTATATGAATATTGTATTATTGTGACTATTGTTAAGAGAATTTCCGTCATCGTCATCGTTATCTCGCAGTTAACGTCAGCATCACCGTTTACTTGTTTAGACTATCTTTTGTCGAACATAATCTCTTCTTCTCCAGTCAGATCTATAGTAGAAAGAAAAACTAGAGTAGGTTTTCTGAATGTTTTAAGATTATATCAGAAAGAAGAAAAAAAATCTTGCAGATTTCGAGTTTTCAAGAATCAAGCACCACTGTTTAATTATCGCGAAACAAAGCCCAATCAACGTCGTCTTTCTTAGCCAAGCGAAGCCACTCTTAGTCTTCACTGTACAACTTTTACAATTAACCCTAAATTTCATTCGCCATCAAATTTCTTAGTGTTTACATACCAAACAACCAAAATTCAGCTGTTCGAGTCTCCATATTTTCTCGACACGCATGTACGTAAGCACAGTGTATGACTAATTTTGTGTAATTACAACCGAAATTGCAAACAAAACAAAAAAAATTCCTTAGCAATGACCTTTATACCTAAAGAAGCTATTGAAGTCATTGCTCAGAGTATTGGAATTACCAATTTGTCTCCCGATGTTGCCCTCGCTGTCGCTCCCGATGTTGAGTATCGCATGCGCGAAATTATGCAGGTCAATATAATTTTTTATTTTTTTTATTTTGGTGGTTACTGATTTTTTGAGTTCTGGAGTTTAAAACATTGTTAATTGATAGTGAACCTTGATGCTTTGAACTTGTAGGAGGCGGTTAAATGTATGCGGCACGCACGTAGAACAGTTTTGAGAGCTGAGGATGTTGATCGTGCACTTAAGTTAAGAAATGTGGAGGTAAATAATTTGTATTTTTGGTTTTTTTTTTTTTTAATTAATTGTTGTGGGTTTTGGAGTATAGTTTCAAAAGTAATGTGAAAATTTGATGTTTAGTTGTGGATTTGGTTATTGGAGTGGTGAAATAATTTGTTTTATGCTTTTTGATTTGCAAGGGAGTTTGGAAGTTTAATTTTGAAACTTACGCGAAATCTTCAGTTTTACTTGTGGATTTGGTTGTTCATTTTTACTTTTTTACTCTTGCCAGGCAATAAATGGATTTGGTTCGAGTGATTCTTTGCGATTCAAAAGGGCGGATGGGCTTAAGGATTTGTACTATATTGATGACAAGGATGTGGATTTTAAGGATGTACGGAAATGAAAATGTGGTTTTAAATTGTATGATAAATGGCTTTTTGTTGCTTGCTATTCTCTTATTTTGCATGTTGGAATGGATGCAGGTGTTGGCAGCACCTTTACCAAAGGCACCTATTGAAACATCTGTTACTACTCACTGGCTAGCAATTGAAGGTGTTCAGCTTGCTATTCCAGAAAATGCTCCAGTTGAAGGTATTGTTTTGACCTCTGTTGGAATACTAGTTAATAGAATGGGAAACTGGGAGACTGGTTTCTAAAAGTATGTATATATGGAAGAACTTTGGGTGGCCAAAATTACTTTGGAGTAAGCATTATGGATGCTATCATTTAGAGTGTTTTTCATTGGTTAGATTTCTATAGGTAGTTTGCTTCTGAGCCTTAGTATTTTTCTGTTTTATGGCCAAGTGGACTGCTCCATGTTTTGATCTAGTGATTCTTTGGTTTATGGACTATTGCAATATCTATGGCCTCTTAAATCTTAACTTTTTGATGATTTTGCTATCATGGGCATTTTAGATTGTATTATACTTTGTTTGCAGCCCCTGCAGCAGTCTCTGATGGCAAAAGGTCTGATTACAGGGAAGATGGGCTTTCTGCTGACATTAAACTACCTGTTAAGCATGTACTTTCTAGGGAGCTTCAGGTATATTGTATATCCTGTGCCATATGATTTTAACAAAATGTAAAAAATAATGAACTTTTTTATGACAGAAGCTTTCTGTAATCTCCTTTGCAGTTTTACTTTGACAAAATAAAACAGCTTACAGTGAATAGATCTAACTCTATCCTCTTTAGACAATCATTAACAAGCCTGGCAACAAGCTCAGGAATACAGCCGTTGGTTCCTTTTTTTACATACTTCATTGCTGATGAGGTAGTCTCAAGGATCTTCAGCTTTGTCTTTTCAAAACATATATCAGAGAATTGAAGCTTTTCTGTCGGAGAATTCAATTTTGCTTATCAAATGTTATGATCTGATGTGTTTTCCTCAGGTTACACGAAGTTTGACTAATTTTCCTCTCTTGTTTGCTTTGATGCGTGTTGCCCGAAGCCTTCTCCAAAATCCACATTTGCATATAGAACTTTATGTAAGTGTAATGTCACTCTATCGCTACACAACACTGTCTCAGAAAAATCTCTGGAAAGGCTCCAAAAAAAAAATAGCATGGCTGTGATGTTGGCCTTGTTTCAAAATGTTCTCTGACTACAGTCACTTTCTTTTAATTATTTCTGGAATTTTCTTGGATTTTGACAAATGATAAGCATAAGAGATAAAATGATGAGAAACATCTGCAACATTAATTTTTAACTATTTCCAGACTGTTGGGATCCGTCAGTCCTTTTTGGGCTTCGTACAGATAAGTGCTAATCAAACACTGTTGGTGTTATTTTCTTCAGCTACACCAAATGATTCCATCCATTATGACCTGCCTTGTTTCAAAAAGATTGGGTAATAGATTTTCCGACAATCACTGGGATCTTAGAAACTTTGCAGCGAACCTGATTGCTTCGATATGTAAAAGGTGATGGTTCTGTATCTTCTGATTTTTCATAAGCTGAACGGCATTAAAATTTCTGTCCAATAAAGTCTTTGACTTAAAAAACATGGTTTGCTAACCCTATTTATCATCTGAGAATTTCATTGATAGAATCTAACTTTAAAATGTTTTTCTGTTTATGGAAACTTAAGATGGATGTGCTTAGAGTTGCAAAAATACTGTTATGTGAATAATTCTTCATTTTAGCTTGTCTGATAGGATATGCTCTACAAGTGAGAGATAAAACTTGTGTTTGAGAGAATGACACTCTTGAATTTGTCTTCGAAATTAAAAGATTACCATTTATATAGCTCATCACTTCTTAACTATTTTTGCAGATTTGGGCATTCTTATCACAACCTCCAGTCACGTGTGACAAGGACTCTGCTGCATGCTTTCTTGGACCCAACAAAATCATTGCCTCAACATTATGGTGCAATCCAAGGGCTAGCAGCCCTTGGAACCAGTGTGGTATTCTAAATTCTCTTATTTTTTAACTTTCATGAGTATGCCATTTTTCTGCAAGACGGGAGAAGGGAAAAAGACTTGCGATCTAAAATGACTGCCAGTTTCTCTACATGCTCTTATAGGAATCCACCTTTACTTGGCACTTTCTCATCTCTATGAACTTCTTAGAATATTTCTCTTTCTTCTTGGGTTCTGTTTCACATCTAAACATCTAAAGGTATATCTTGTTTTTCTAGAACTTTAGTATAATTATCTGAGCATTTTGCTTTTTGTTTATATTTTGGATAGGTTCGTCTTCTTATCCTACCAAATCTTGAGCCGTACCTGCAGCTCCTTGAACCAGAAATGCGTTTTGAGGAACAAAAGAACAAGATGAAGAGGACCGAAGCTTGGCGTGTCTATGGGGCCTTGCAGGTTAGCTTATCTTTCAACATTTTCTTTTCAGAAAATTCTATGTATAGGATTAATATTGACACGGTGTGCAACTTTCCAGCATGCAGCTGGTCTATGTGTGTATGATCGGCTAAAAAAATTCCCCCGTTTGTTGACTCTTCCAACTCGTTCTTGCTTGAAGAGGAATGGCAGAGTCGGAACCAGTTTGCAGCCAAGTATGATTTCTTTGAACTTGTTGCTTTGGGATGTATATACATACATAAGCGGAGAGATAGTAGCATCCGTGCATGCAGTACGCATATGTGCTCACCATGCTTTGCTAATAATAGGATGATTGAAACACAAAAGCCAATTTTATTGCATCATTAGCCTTATCTAAGAATATACGAGAAGCATTCATCACTGATAGCACCTCTTTAAAAATAATCTGCGGTAGTTGGTTCCCTAATTCTCTGTTTCTCTATTTCTGATCATCTTGCTCTTCAATTGCTTTCCAAAGATAAACGCAAAGCAAGCATGGACAACTCAATGCACCAACCACCACTCAAGAAAATGGCAACAGGTGGCGCTATGGGTTTGATGCCAGTGAATTCTATGTCCGTTGACATGCATGGACCAACAGGTGGATTTCCCAACATCGTGGGAAGTTCGATGTTTGGAAGTTCGAGTGTTGGTATATCAACAATGCCCCGGCAGTTACCAAAGGAAAACACATTAGGAAGGGAGATGGGTGGTCGCACATCGAAGACTTCAACTGTTCTAGCTCAGGCTTGGAGGGAGGACATGGATGGAGGGCAATTACTGGCATCACTATTTGAACTTTACGGTGAAAGCATGTTCCGATTTACTCCCAAATCTGAGTTGCTGCTATTCTTGTGATTTTTAAACAATAGGACTTGATGTTTAAACAGTAATTTTGTAAATCATCTGTTAGATTATTAAAACTGTAGCTAATAGATTATAGATTCTTGTAAGCTATTAAGTGAGGTATGAATTATTTACGTAAATTTTCTTAATTAATTATAAGTTTATAGCATTGCATTAGTAATTTAGTACATTACTTAATTAAATAATTATAAATTTAATTAATTATAACATTACATTTAGATTTATAGTATATTACTTAATTATTATAACATTACATTATAAACAAATGATTACTTAATTAATTATAACATAATTATAGTTTGATCACTAATTATTATAACATTACATAATTAAATTATTATTTTTAATTAGGATATTATATATAAATATTAATAATTTCCTACATTAGCATAATATTTAATTAAATAATTAGAAATTTAATTAATATAATATTACTTACAATTTATAGTATGATTACTTAATTAATTTAACATTCTATATAAAACATTATTACATACTTAATTAAATGATTAGAAATTTATTAATTAAACATTACATTATAATTAAATAATTACTAATTAATTATAACATTACATTATATATAATCACTTAATTAATTATAACATTTCATAGTTAAATGATTATTAATTAATTAAAATTTATAACATTACATTATAAACTTAGTAATTTACTACATTAGTACATATTTAATTAAAAAAATTAATTAATTATAACATTACATCATGTTTATTATATGATTATAATTAATTATAATATGTTATTATAACATTAGTAAAAATACTTATTAATTATTAGAAATTTAATTATTATATTAAATTATAGATTTAAGTATGGTTACTTAATAATTGTTTTGTGTTTGGTTTTGATTGAGGAATTTTATGTGAATTGTGACGAATTGATTGAATTCAAGTGTTGCCTAAATTAGAGAGATTTATGAGTCACACCAGACAAATAAATGAGTAATCAAAATTGTTAGGGGTGTATTTGTAAACTTTTAAGATATTTTTGTCATTTTTAAAACTAATAGGGGGTAATTAATTGTTTATAGGGTACTCGGGAAATGAACCGGAACCTGCATTTTGGGTTCAGTTCCATAGGTTTCGATTCCTTGAATTTAAAAACATGCATTGTGCGGTTTCGTTCCTCGAAATATGCAGGTACCCAGAACCGCTCACCCCTAACCCTGAAATGGCTCAAGGGTTGTAATTTCTTCTGAGTTACTGCTAAATTGTCATCTTTAAGCAGTTTTGAGAAAGTAAAATTCAATCTTCCTCAATGCTCTTCGAAGAAATGGTTGGTGTTTCTATTGGTAGGTTAAATCTTGCCCCCATAAGTCATCACCATCGTTTCACAAAAACTGCTGACATCTAGAGCTGGCGATGGATCGTGTCGCCTCACGTGTCAACACAACTCTCCTTAAAAAAAGTCTAGCACAACACGCAAATTTCCTTGCCTGCCATGGCTTACAAATATTCAAAGAATTAATAAAATTAATGGAAGTGTTAAACTAGGCCACGACACAACCCATGGCACAACAGCTATATAGCGGTCGTGTTGTGGGCCTTCAGATTTGGCAGGCAGAACAGTAGATAAGACATATTCTACAGGCCTTAGCACAACGGCCCCGATAGATAGGCCTTGAATTTTTAGACACGACACAATGACGATGACATAATATCCCCATTCTAACAGTAGTCAATATCCTCGTTATTAACGATGACATCAATGTCCTCGTTAACAACATTGCAGTTGACCTTGCAGTTAACTAAGGGTGATGCCATGTGTTTTTACCTAACAATGACGTTTATATGTCATTACTAATAGGAACATCAATATGAATAGAGATACTACAGCAACAACCCTCTCTTACAACTTCTTTTACAACCCTGCGTGACAGCTTCAATTAGTCAATTTACAATTAATTAGTAGGACTCAATGTGGAATCTGTATGAATGGATCAATTGTAGCACTAAATCAGAGTTATTAGAAAAAGTTTGTAAAAAATGTTGTTGTATAGTATTATTCATATGAATATTGTTAATTGTGCTATTGCTACAGAGAATTTCCGTCATCGTCATCGTTATCTCGCAGTTAACGTCAGCATCACCGTTTACTTTTAGACTATCTTTTGTCGAACACAATTCTTCTTCTCCAGTCGATCTATAGAAGAAAAACCAGAGTAGGTTTTCTGAATTTAAGATTATATCAGAAAGAAGAAAAAAAATCTTACAGATTTCGATTTTCAAGAATTAAGACCACTGTTTAAGTATCGGAAACAAAGCCCAATCAACTTCGTCTTTCTTAGCCAAGCGAAGCCACTCTCAGTCTCCACTGTACAACTTTTACAATTACCCTAAATTTCATTCGCCATCAAATTTCTTATTTTTTACATACCAAACAACCAAATTCAGCTGTTCGAGTCTCCATATTTTCTCGACACGCATGTACGTAAGCACAGTGTATGACTAATTTTGTGTAATTACAACCGAAATTGCAAACAAACAAAAAAAAATTCCTTAGCAATGACCTTTATACCTAAAAGAGCTATTGAAGTCATTGCTCCGAGTATTGGATTACCAATTTGTCTCCCGATGTTGCCCTCGCTGTCGCTCCCGATGTTGAGTATCGCATGCGCGAAATTATGCAGGTCAATATAATTTTTTATTTTTTTTATTTTGGTGGTTACTGATTTTTTGAGTTCTGGAGTTAACATTGTTATTGATAGTGAACCTTGAGGCTTTGAACTTGTAGGAGGCGGTTAAATGTATCGGCACGCACGTAGAACAGTTTTGAGAGCTGAGGATGTTGATCGTGCACTTGTTAAGAATGTGGAGGTAAATAATTTGTATTTTTGGTTTTTTTTTTTTTTAATTATTGTTGTGGGTTTTGGAGTATAGTTTCAAAGTATGTGAAAATTTGATGTTTAGTTGTGGATTTGGTATTGGAGTGGGTGAAATATTTGTTTTATTGCTTTGATTTGCAAGAGTTTGGAAGTTTAATTTGGAACTTACGCGAAATCTTAGTTTTGCTTTGGATTTGGTTGTTCATTTTTTTTTTACTCTTGCCAGGCAATAAATGATTTGGTTCGAGTGATTCTTTGCGATTCAAAAGGGCGGATGGGCTTAAGGTTTGTACTATATTGATGACAAGGATGGGGATTTTAAGGATGTACGGAATGAAATGTGGTTTTAAATTGTGTGATAAATGGCTTTTGTTGCTTGCTATTCTCTTATTTTCGTGTTGGAATGGATGCAGGTGTTGGCAGCACCTTTACCAAAGGCACCTATTGAAACATCTGTTACTACTCACTGGCTAGCAATTGAAGTGTGTCAGCTTGCTATCCAGAAAATGCTCCGTTGAAGGTATTGTTTTGACCTCTGTTGGAATACTAGTTAATGAAGGGGAAACTGGAGACTGGTTTTAAAAGTATGTATACATATGGAAGAACTTTGGGTGGCCAAAATTACTTTGGAGTAACACTATGGATGCATCATTTAGAGTGTTTTTCATTGGTTAGATTTCTATAGGTAGTTTCTTCTGAGCCTTAGTATTTTTCTGTTTTATGGCCAAGTGGACTGCTCCATGTTTTGATCTAGTGATTCTTGGTATGGACTATGCATATGCCTCTTAATCTTAACTTTTTGTGATTTTGCTATCATGGGCATTTTAGATTGTATTACTTTGTTTGCAGCCCCTGCAGCGTCTCTGATGGCAAAGGTCTGATTACAGGGAAGATGGGCTTTCTGCTGACATTAAACTACCTGTTAAGCATGTACTTTCTAGGGAGCTTCAGGTATATTGTATATCCTGTGCCTATGATTTTACAAAATGTAAAATAATGAAACTTTTTTATGACAGAGACTTTCTGTAATCTCTTTGCAGTTTTACTTTGACAAAATAAAACGCTTAAGTGAATAGATCTAACTCTATCCTCTTTAGACAATCATTAACAAGCCTGGCAACAAGCTCAGGAATACAGCCGTTGGTTCCTTTTTTTACATACTTCATTGCTGATGAGGTAGTCTCAGGATCTTCAGCTTTGTCTTTTCAAAACATCTCATGAATTATTTCTCAATTTCATCATGTTCATCACATACAGCATTCAAATTCAGAGTAACACATAACCAAAGCTTATTCATGTGGAAATAACACAATCAAACACTTAACCCATTTAAAATCCAAACTACAATCAAAACCCTAACCCAAAATAGGTTAGTTCATAGCTAAATTAATAACACAAAAACGAAAAACGGAAATAAACAAGTTCAACATAATGAAAATGAGATGAAAGATAAGAAATCTCCCCAAAAGATGAATCCTTCAGTCAAAATCTGAATCTTCTCCCTTTAACAACCAAAAAGCTCAAAGTTTTTCTCTCAAAAATGTAAAAATAGCTAACCCTAAAAAGATGAAGACCCCTAGGAAAAAGGCTAAGTTTTTCTTTTATACTTAGTCCAAATAACCCAGCTAAAACACGCACAACATGAAACTGTGCGTTTAACAAAACTGAATAAAATGACTGTCACCGCGGCGAAGAATGAAGAAATCCAATATCGTCCCTGGCTTACTTGACCGCGGCGAAGACAATTCCTTCGCCGGGGCGAAGCTCCTTGAAAAGTTCTGAAATTATAGAACTGCCACTCTACTTGCTTCTTCGTTCGATTCTCGGTGCTCTTCCTTAGGAACAAGCTTCATCGTGCTTTATCCTGCTCCGGAACTCTCCTATCTTCTGAGATCCGCTAATTTTTGAGTCAAAGCTATCCAATTTTGTCTTTATTTGCTCAAAATTTCCATTTTAACCTGAAATACGAAAAGTAAAGAATTAAGCAACAATTCAGGTCAAAATGCACTAGAAAGTACCTGAAATCCGACAAAAAGCTCAATTAAAAACTGTATAATTTACGGATTATCATATACTTCAGGGTGAAGCAGACTTAAGAGTTAAGTTAACTTAATAGCTAAGTTAACGACTCAGCAGCTAGGTTCGGCGACTAAGCACCTTCGTTTCCAAGGTTGCACAAATGCGCGCCACCCACGAGCTTCGTTTCCAAGGATGCACAAATACGCGCCACCCACGAGCTACGTTTCCAAGGCTACACCAATGCTTG